TCCTTTATGTTCCACCTTCCAGAATGACAGAGTCATGTTTTTTTTTTTTTTTTTTAAAGATTTTATTTATTTATTCATGATAGTCACACAGAGAGAGACAGAGAGGCAGAGACACAGGCAGAGGGAGAAGCAGGCTCCATGCAGGGAGCCTGATATGGGATTCGATCCCGGGTCTCCAGGATTGCGCCCTGGGCCAAAGGCAGGTGCCAAACCGCTGCGCCACCCAGGGATCCCAGAGTCATGCTTTTTAAGCACACATGCCCAGATATTCCCAAGCAGCAGCACTACATGCTCACCCTGCTCAGAACCAGGGCTCTACCTCCTGCAGAGTAGGCACTGAATTGCTAATGGATAAAGTCCCATCACTACCCTGTTCACAGAGGCCCTGAGCTGAAAAGCCGTGTCAGATTCTCACCGTCCTTCAAACTATGCCTTCCGTAGTCTACTTCCCATTTCCTGGTCCTAGAACAACTTAATCAACTCTTCTGGTCACGCCAGCTATACATCCCTAAAACTGGTTCCTATTTGGAAAGTTCCCAAACCCACAGAGTCTCTCTCCTTGAGAATAGTATCTCTCAGGATCTTAATATGCTCTAATGGTTATTACAATACCTTATTTTTAAGTAACTTGCAAAATTAACCTTATGCCTCTCATACAGGGACTTCCTATTATCTTTGTGTCTTTGTATGATTGTATCATAAACAGCCAAAATCAACATAAGCGATTTGGTAGCGTCTACTAAAATTCTAAATGTACATAAGCCTATGATATAGCAACTCCCCTGTGGACATAAACCCAAAAACCCCTTGCACTATGTAAGACCATCCTCAAGGTTCATCTATTATGAGAAGTGGAAAAAATCTAAATGTCCATCATCAGAGGGGGACAACCAAGTACCCTGTGGTATAGTCTATTTTCTAAAACAGTGCTAAATCATTACAAAAAAGGGGGATCATCTACAGCCTCACAGAAGGTTGTGTTTACAAAGATGAAGTAGGTAAATATACCCTAAGTTGAAACATATGTTGGGGGCTCCTGGGTGGCTCAGTGAGTTAAGCATCTGACTTTGGCTCAGGTCGTGATCTCAAGGCCCTGGGATTGAGTCCCGAGTTGGGCTCCCTGCTCAGTGGGGAGTCTGCTCCTCTCTCTCTGTCTTCTGCTACCCTTACCTGTATATTCTGTGTCAAATGAATAAATAAAATCTCAAAAAAAAAAAAACCCAAAAAACAACATATGTAAACATACTGCATTTTTTTGTGCATCTGGGGTTGTAGAGAGTCACAGTTGAAAGGGATTTTAGGGCAGCCTGGGTGGCTCAGCGGTTTAGCGCCGCCTTCAGCCCAGGGTGTGATCCTGGAGACCTGGGATCAGTCCCATGTCGGGCTCCCTGCATGGAGCCTGCTTCTCCCTCTGCCTGTGTCTGTGCCTCTCTCTGTGTCTCTCATGAATAAATAAATCAAATCTTTTTTTTTTTTTAAAAAAAGGATTTTAGCTCTACTTATGTTTGAATGTTAAGATCGCAGTAACACACTACTTGATAGTTTCAAATCAATTATGTAAATGTATAAAACCACTTACAATATAATGAAATAGGGTTTAAATTCATGCAGAACAAATCTTACCTGTGCAAAAAACTTTCTTTTGCCAGTTGAATTTGTAGTGTTCCACCTTTCCATTTTGTTTTATTTAAAATAGACATACCTATAAAGCACAGAATTATTACCCAAATACACAGTGATGCAGAAATATATGGCAGCATGTGCCTTTTCTAATTAGCTAGTACCAAAAAAGCACACTTGTTTATCACAAAGAGGCACAGAAGAGATACAGCAAACACGACCAAGGGAGAAAAGGCCTAGATCCTGGTGTCAGCTGTGACCCACCAAGGAGTCCCTAAGTTCTCTATCAACCAGTGTTCCTGGAAGAACTGAATAAAGCAAACATGTAAAACATAGAGCGAAATTTATCATTCTTCCACAAAGATATGCTAGGAACCTCAGGTGAATGACATTTTTTTGACATTTCATCATTATCACTCCTACTAAAACTATAAAACATGAATTAATTTTAGAGAGTGAATCAGAAAATACTGAAATCCTGTAGAACTTCATTGTCTCACGCTAATTATTGCTATGTAACTTGCAAATAAATTAGCTGCAGATGACTAAACTGGGTTTCAACTGCTACGCCCCAAAAGCTGATTCTTATTACCTACCATCAACTTCATTAGTAATAACCACAAACAGAAGTTTCTATGTTTTCGGTACTACACTAAGCACAAATGTTTTACTCAATTTATACTTTACGGTCATGACATCAGCAGTATCTCTGTCACATTTCAGGTAAGTAAACTGGGGCTTCTAGGTTAAACAATTTGTCACAAGTCACATAGCAGAGCTGTTCTTAACCACCACTTATTTCTCACTAAGTAAGAGGATACATCAATTTTTTTTTTTTTTTTGCAAATGAGAACACAGAAGGCTGATGGCTTTCTCCATTAGCATGTTTTCTTTTCAGTGTCTTGACTTTGCAGCCTCTAATAAGTCGCACATATTACCAATAGAGATTTCATAATTTTAAGAATATGGTCTTACAAGGGCATGCTGTAAAGCCCCCCTAAGGATGATTAATGACAAGAATATGCTGCCTGAGAAATGAACACACCAGGAAAGGAAGAGATTGGCATAATATTCAATGTTTAACAGTTTCTATGAACATGTGTTCTCTTGTCTAAAATATCTGAGAATACCACGTTTGAGCAATGATCTGCCATGTGTCTGCTGCCGCCAAATGGGATGGACCTAAATCTGCTGAGTTGTAGGATGTTGGGATTCTCTTGACCATGGCTATTCCTCTGGATGTTTCTCAAGTGGTGGTTAAGGTTTAGATTTAGTACCAAAGTTATTCTAAGTTATACAGTGACATCAACTGACAAATAGAAAGAATAAAACAATCTTACTTACATTTGTTCAGGTTTTCTTCTGCCACTCTGATGTTGATATATGCAAAGACTTTCTGTGGGTTTCCTTAAAAAAAAAAAAAAGGATTAAACTTTTACCCACAGAACAATGTAAAAATGATTAAGTTTTTAACTTAGAACAATAACCTTTGGAATCTTACTTTTTCAAAGAAAAATCTTGTTTTTCATTGGATACAAAGATTGCATTTTTGTATGCACGTATCGAAATATTTCAAAAGAAAAAGAAGGGTTAAGCAGTTAAAATTTCAATTGTATGTTACAGTCTAACAGGACACCTGGTAAATATTAGAATTTTAGCTTTGTAAATGGAAAGCTGCATGTTTCAGAAAGCAGATGTTTTGCAATTTAGAATGCCTTTTGACTTCAGAAATGTAAACCTGGGCCAGTTCCACATTTTATATCACACCTTCGCAGCAGGGGCCTGTATACACACCACTCCGCCCTAGGGCTTCCCTACTCTATGACACTCCAGAGGGATTGAACAGGCCTTAAGGACCCACGAGGACGAGTTACCTTGGTCATCTCTCCGAGTGATCATCTCCACCTCGGAAACGTCCCCGAATCTGCTGAACCGGTCCCGTAGGTCCGCGGAGGTCACGTCCCGGCCGAGGCCGCCCACGAACAGGCGCTTTACCGCGTCGTCTGCCCTCATGTCCTGCAGGGAAAACACGTCTCCACCCACTCGGAACGGCCTCCTACTTCTTGTCACTTCCGCAGCGAACCCCCCAGCGCTCCTTTCCCCGCACCTCCAGATCACATGGGTCGCCGGGACCTGGGTCTCCCTCCGAATTTTATCCGGGGACACTCTGCTCAGGCCCTGAGTCCGTGTCCTGGGAACGCACTTCGTAACCGCAGTCGTACACCCGTGCAGAGGCGGACACACTTCCCGGCCACTGATGTGTGCAGCTGTCAGTGTTTTCCCTTCATTCGTTCGCGCACTTGGAGCGCAACCGGTGGAGACGAGACGTGGCCTGGGCACAGACCGGTGCTCCTCCGTCCGTGACGGGCACACGGGGGAGGCAGGTCCCGCGCGGCCACACCGCGGGCGTCTGCCCAGCGAGGCGAGGACAGGCCGTTTTTTCCACAGCTCGCGCGGCGGCGGCTCAGGTAGGGTGAACCCGCGCTGAAGCACACCGTGACCACCCACTCTGATCTCAGAGCCCGGCAGGCTGCACCGGGAAGGGTGCTGGAAAGCCCTTCTGGGGTTAGAGGGCACGGACCCTGCCCTCCCCCAGGACTGCCAGACCCCCACCGCACCACGCGCGACTACGAACAGCGCTCAGAGTCGCGCTAGAGCTCGGGGCGTGAGCTACCGCCCCCAGCTTTCCAGGGGCCTCCCCCCGCCCTTCCCTCCCAAAGACCCAGAGACGACCCCGCCGCCTCCCGCACCCCAAGTCCACTTCACCACCGCGCGGTCCGCGCCCCACGGTCTTCAGGTCCCTAACTTCTAGTCACGTGGCCCAATAGGCGCCGTCTGTCTTCCTTCCTCCCGGATTTCCAATCCAGCTTCCTAGGGTTCCGCTATCGTACTCAGTTCCCGCGTACTCTTCGTTTGCGGCCCTCTGGAGTGCCGCGAGGCCGCCATCATCCTGCCCTCAATGTCCTCAGGACTCCAAACCGAAAATCCCTAATTCCTACTATTCAATCATCGCCTCGGATTCTTTGATTCCTGGACCAGCATGACGAAAGTGAAGGAGCGGACCGAAAAGCTTGAGGCTCCGGGTCACGTGGTCCCGGAAGCTCCGCTCGCCCGTGCGACTCGCCCGGGCGGCTCCACAGTCCACTCGGAGAGGGGGAGGCTGCCGCGCCCTAGGGCTTCGTGTGGGAGCCAGCCCTTTATGTGCGGGGGCAGGGACGGCTGGGGCCGGCTGAGGCGAGGAGGGCAACGAGGGCGGCAAGCTCGAGATTCTGCGCGCGCGAACCTGGCACTCTCGGGATTCCCGCTGCCCCGCCTCCCCCCCGCCGAGCTTCGGGATGGTTCGAGCCGGCGGCGCGCGAGGCTTGAAGCGCTGGGTAGGCCCGCGTCTCTCAGGCCGCAGCTACTTAGTGCCGCGCCATGGAGGCCCAGAGGGAGGAGGTCTGCGCCCTGGAGGCCGAGATCGCGGCCCTGCGGCGGGCGTGCGAGGAGCCGCGGGCGGCGGGGGAAGACGCTGGGCTTGTGCAGTACGTGCCCGCGGGCACTGGGGGCGGGCGAAGGTCTGCGGGCCGCGCACCCGTCGCCGTCTCCCCGGCGCCGCGGCAGCCGAGGGTCGAGCTGGCAAAGGAAAGCGGAGCCTTGGCCGGTTCTTCCCAGGCCCTGGCGGGCGGAGGCACGGAGGAATAACTGAGAAAACAGGGTGGGAGACTGCGGGACCGCGGCGGGGGCGGTGCGGGCGTGTGTGTGGAGGGGGCCGCCCGCGGGTGTGCGCGTGTGCGTGTGGAGGGGGCCGCCCGCGGGTGTGTGTGTGTGTGTGTGTGTGTGGAGGGGGCCGCCCGCGGGTGTGTGTGTGTGGAGGGAGCCGCCCGCGGGTGTGTGTGTGTGTGTGTGGAGGGGGCCGCCCGCGGGTGTGTGTGTGTGGAGGGAGCCGCCCGCGGGTGTGTGTGTGTGTGTGTGGAGGGGGCCGCCCGCGGGTGTGTGTGTGTGGAGGGAGCCGCCCGCGGGTGTGTGTGTGTGTGTGTGTGTGTGTGGAGGGGGCCGCCCGCGGGTGTGTGTGTGTGGAGGGAGCCGCCCGCGGGTGTGTGTGTGTGTGTGGAGGGAGCCGCCCGCGGGTGTGTGTGTGTGTGTGTGTGGAGGGGGCCGCCCGCGGGTGTGTGTGTGTTTGTGTGTGTGGAGGGGGCCTTCCGCGGGTGTGCGCGCGTGTGTGTGTGTGGAGGGGGCTGCCCGCGGGTGTGTGTGTGTGTGTGTGGAGGGGGCCGCCCACGGGGGTGTGTGTGTGTGGAGGGAGCCGCCCGCGGGTGTGCGCGTGTGTGTGCGTGTGGAGGGGGCTGCCCGCGGGTGTGTGTGTGTGTGTGTGTGTGGAGGGGGCCGCCCACGGGGGGGTGTGTGTGTGTGGAGGGGGCCGCCCACGGGGGTGTGTGTGTGTGGAGGGGGCCGCCCACGGGTGTGTGTGTGTGTGTGTGTGTAGGCCCCACCCCAGGAGATGCCGCGGCCCTTCGGGCATCACCTTTTACCGCCTAACACACCTGAGGAAGGTGCCGTGTGACCCGTTAGGAGTAAGAAGTCCGGCTCAGGGGAGGCCGGTTGCCTGCTCACAGTCTGGGGAGATCAGGTCGCAGAGGGTTTGGAACCTGGGAGCCTAACTTGGAAGCCCAGCCCCCTTCCTGGAGGGTCCGTGAGTGTCAGGATGCACCTGCCTTCTCTAACTTGCAAACGGTTGGAAGGAAACTATCTTCGTTTTCTCGGTGGACCCTGATTTGATAGGCGTAGAGACCTCCTCCTGAGCCAACTCGGAGAGGGCCACAGAAAGCGGGGAGGAGGAGGAGTGCGGCCGGAAGTGCTCAGGTGCAGGGTGGGATGGGGACAGTGAAGGTAGCCGGAACTGGGCAAAGGGAGAGGAGAGCCCGTGACCCGGGACACCTGTGTTCTTTGGCGAGCGGGGTGCCAATGAGCTGAGGCCCCTTGCTGCGCTGGGGTGCTCCCCAGCTGGAAGCGTTACTGTTACCTGGCAGTTACGTAGAAATAAAAATCCTGGGTCCACCCCACCTGATGAGTCCTGTGCTTTTTAACACCCCCCCCCTCCGCACGCATGTGCGCGCGCGCACACACGCACACGCTTTTATGCATATTTGAAAGTTTGTGAAGCAGCTAGACTCCTGGCCACAAGATTGTCAGTGTTAGTCCAGTGAGGTGTGTAGACCACTCATGCAATATGCCTTCTCAAACATCCAATCGGAAAGGGAAGACAGATCCAGGTTGTGGGAGATACTACATGTTCGGGATTTTGTTGTTGTTTTTTTTTTAATTTTATTTGATAGAGAAAGAGCATGAGCTGGGGGAGAGCGGCAGGTAGAGGCAGAGGGACAAGCAGGCCACAGTGGGTGTACCATTTTATATTCCCACCAACAGTGCGTGGGGGTTCCATATTTTCGACATTCTCGCCAATATTGTTTTTTTCCTGGTTTTGTTTTCTTTTTTGATAGTAGTAATTCTAATAGGTGTGAGGTCCGTTCTCTAATGATTAGTGATACTGAACATCTGTGTTTATTGGCTATCGTTTCATACCGGTCACAGCCTCTCTGTAGTAATGCTATTGATTAGAAATGCCTGGAGCCAGTGAGCTTCCCAGAGACCTTTCCCCTTTCCAAACCTGTAGTGATTGGACTGAACCTTGTGCTTCTTAGGATTGCAAGATACCCTTCCGCAAGAACCTTTAGAAAACTTTGAAGAAAAAAATAGTTTATTATTAATGATACTGGAGTGTACAAGACATGCCATGGGAGCCACACAACCAGGTTATTGGTGCAGACAGGGAGACAGAACAAGAGAATAGGGATGCGGTTCTGCTTTTACTGGTGTTGAGGGTGGGGGGCCTAGAGTTTCAAGGGCTCAGACTTTATTGGTGAACTTAAACATAAGAGTAGGACTATAAGCACAGAAAGAGAAAAAAACAAGTGGCCCAAATGGTCAGTTATTGAAATTAACCAAGATCTCTAAAGGAATTTTCAGTGTGGGAAGGCAACCTGGCTTTTGAGACCTGCGGCTGGCGCTGTTTATTGGCAATAGCAGATGCCTCTGCAATCAGAGCTTGTCAGGTAGTTGCTTCAGGATAAGAAAAGCCAACTGTCAGGTCCTACATTGTCATTCTTATATCCTCTTTGGGGGAATGTCTGTTCAAGTCTTTTGCCCACTTTCAAACAGGTTGGTTTTTGTTGCTTTAGAAGTACTTGATATATTTGGAAATTAAAACCATATCAGTTACATGATTAGCAAATAGGAGATTTTCTCATTCTGTGAGTTGCTTTTTTTACTCTTGATAGTGACATGTAAAATTTTCAAAACGTTCATGAAGTCCAATTTGTCTATTTCTTTTGTTACATCTGCCTTTGCTGCTTATATCCAAGAAATCATTACCCAAAGCCCATGTTATGAAGCTTCTGTCCAATATTTTGTTCTAAGAGTTTTGTTTTAGGTTTTACATTTAGATGTTTGATCCAATGTGATATTAGGGAAGGGTCCAAATTCATACTTTTGCATATAGATATTCAGTTTTTCCAGCACCATTTGAATGGTATTAGTAAGCTTGTCAAAAATCATGTGATCTGGGGCACCTGGGTGACTCAGTGGTTGAGTGTGTCTGCCTTTGGGTCAGGGTGTGATCCCTGAGTCCCAGGATCGAGTCCCACATCGGGCTCCCTGCATGGAGCCTGCTTCCCTCTCTGCCTCTCGGTCTCTCATGAATAAATAAAATCATTTAAAAAAAATCATGTGATCATATATGTGAGGGTTTACTTGTAGGTTCTTTTATTTCTAACCCATTCATTCATCTGTCTTTATGCCAATACTACTACACTGTTTTGATTAGCTCTCAGTTTTGAAGTCAGGAATACGAGTCCTTCAGTTTTGTTCTTTATCAAGATTATTTTGGCTATTTGGGATCCCTTGAAATTCCATCTGAATTTTATGATGGGTTTTTCTTTTCTGCAAAAATCCTCTTTGGGAATTTGGTAGGGATTGCATTGAGTCTATAGATTGCTTGTGGGTAATACTGATATTTTATTACCTATTTATATTGTCTTCTAATTCATTAACATGTGTTTTTATTTATGTGAAACGATTTTTTCAGTGATGTTTTGTGATTTTTTTTTTAAGATTTTATTTATTCATGACAGACACAGAGAGGCAGAGATACGGGCAGAGGGAGAAGCAGGCTCCATGCAGGGAGCCTGTTGTGGGACTTGATCCTGGGTCTCCAGGATCACACCCCGGGCTGAAGGCAGCGCCAAACTGCTGGGCCACCGGGGCTGCCCTGTTTTGTGATTTTCATTGTACAAATATTTTACCTTCCTAAGGTAAATTCTCTTTTTTTATTAAAGATTTTATTTATTTTGAGAGAGAAAGAGTGCCAGTAGAGGGGAGGGGGACAGGGAGAAGTAGCCTCCCTGCTGAGCAGGGAGCCTGATGTGGGACTCGATCCCAGGATTCTGGGATCATGACCTGAGCCAAAGGCAGCTGGTAAATTCCTTTTTAAGGTTAATTCCTAAGTAAGGTTTTTGATGCTGTTGTAAATGGAATTGTTTTTGTAATTTGCCTTTCACATCGTTCATTGTTGGTTTATAGAAATGCATCTGAGTTTTGCGTGGTGACTTTATATCCCGTTATATAGCTGAATATATATATAGCTGAATTCATTTATTGTAGCATTTTTTTTGTGTGTGTATGGAATCTTTAGGCTTTTGTACATATAAGATATTATCTGTAAACAGAGATAATTTTACTTCCTTTCCAATTTGGATGTCTTTTATTTCTGTTTCTTGCCTAATTGCTCTACCTAGGATTTCCAGAACCATGTTTCAGTGGTGAAAGTGGACATCCTTATCTTTTTTTGCTATATGGCTTTTATTATTTTGAGATAATTTCCTTCTGTTCCTAGGTTTTGAGTATATTATCATTGAAATGTGTTAAATTTTGTCAAATGCTTTTTATCCATTAATTGAGATAACCGTGTCTTTTTTCCCCCTTCTTTCTGTTAATGTATATTACTTTGATCAATTTTCCTATGTGGAACCATCTTTGCATTACAGAAATAAATCCCATTTGGTCATGATGTGTAATCTCTTTTATATGCTGCTTCTTATGATTTACTGCTTTTGTTAAGGGTTTTTACGTTAATGTTCATAAGTAATTTTGGTCTGTAGTTTTCTTGGAATGTCTTTGTCTGATTTTGGTATCAAGGTTGTGCTGGCCTAATAAATGAGTTACAAATTGTCCCTTCCCCAACTTTTTGAAGAAGTTTGGAAAGGATTGGTTAGTGTTTATTTAAATGTATAATACAATTAACTCATGTAGTTATCAGGTCTAGAGCTTTTCTTTTTTGGAGATTTTTTGATTGTGGATTCAGTCGGACTAATTATAAGTATTCATATTTCTTATCTCATGATTTAATCTTGGTAGGGTTTGTGTTTCTAGGAATTTAGCCATTTCATGTAGGTTATCCAATGTATTGGCATATAGTTATTCATAATAC